TTGTACAGAATATCAGTATGACAATACGACACCCTCTGTCCTTAGACCCTCTGTCCTTAGACCCTCTGTCCTTAGACCCTCTGTCCTTAGACCCTCACATCGTACAAGGAAACACTTCCAGAGAAAAACCCACAGTTTAAAGGAACATGGGAGAAACCTCAGGGAGAGCAACAGAGGAGGGATCCCTCTCCCAGGACGGACAGACGTGCAATAGATGCCGTGTGTAAATTGAAAAGATAATACATTTTACAGTGTAAAAAAGGATTATGGCTTCATGGATTCCAGAGTGACATTGGAGACCTTCCTTAAGGGATGTGCAGGGAAGGTGACAATTGTTGTCGGCCCGGCTGGATCAGGAAAAACTCTGCTGGTGTCTTGTTTAGGACAGCAGTGGGCACAACGACTCGTACGTTTAAAACATTCATCATTCAGAGTTCGGCAGGTAAACTGTTATTTTCTATATACTTTGAGTGGGATTCAACTTAAGAGTCAATATTTTATTGACATATCAGTATAAATGATTGGAATTTCTCAAAAAAAACACAAAGAAAGACAAATTATAAAACCACTTAAAGCACATGATACCTAAAATAAATATCCATGCCTATGGAATGATTTTAGAAGCATAAAAACAAATAAGATCAAAACCAACACATGAGAACACTACGGATATGAAGGTAGCACCTGTAGGAAAGTTAGCAGCAACATCAATCACCAGATGGACGGCAGTGCTGTGTTTTTGGTGTTAAGGAGGCGGACAGCTTCAGGATATCTGCTGTTCTGGAACCTGGATGTTCTGGTCTTAATGCGACTTAAGCCCCGGACACACCAAGCCGATTTCAGCCGTCGATAGATGTCTGGCCGTCGATGAGCGTCCTGTCGCCCTACTCAGATTGGTGTGTCCAGCACCGTCGTATCTTTTCGGCCGTGCCGACACCTTCCGCGGCCGATTCGACTTGTTGAATCGGCCGCGGAGGCTGTCGGCACAAGAAATCAATCTGATTGGCTGTTCAGCTTAGCGACTCAGTGCATGAGAAGCAAAACGGAAGGGAGGTACGCAAACAAACGATTAAGAAGGCACACACAGACGGCATTGTGAACTCTGCCCAGAGGATCATCGGTGCCTCACTCCCATCACTACAGGACATATATAACACCCGCCTCACCCGCAAAGCACTCAGCATTGTGGGTGTCTCCACCCACCCCTCCAACAGCCTCTTCAGCCGCCTGCCTTCAGGAAGAAGGTTCCTCAGCCTCAGCTCGCGCACCTCTAGGCTGGGCAACAGCTTCCTCCACCAGGCGGTCAGGATGCTGAACTCTCTCCCCTCCCTTCCTCCCTTCCTCCCTCCCTCCCTCCCTCCCCCTCTCTGACATCTCTCCCCTGAACTCTCCACCCTGCCTCCCACGCTTCTCCCCTGCCCCAAATGGTCCTGGACTTTAACCTGCCCCTCCATGTGAGGTCGGCCCAGACCGTAGGGGTTTAAATCCTTACTAAAGACTGACTTCTTCTCTCTGGCCTTCTAGTCAGAGCGGAGCACGACTCCTGACATTTCCCTGTGTTTTTGTTTTTTATATTTCTGTTGTAAATTATTGTCTGTTCTTGTGAAGTTTTTTATTACATGTACAGCACTTTGGCTCGACCAAAAATCGTTTTTAAATGTGCTATATAAATAAAACCTGATTTGAATAGACAGTTAACTTGTTAAATAATACAGACTAGAAAATAATGCTTGACTAAACTCCCTAAAATGCGATTACAGAACATGGTTTTCAGCCAGCCAATAAGCAAAAATGATTTAAAAAAACCACAAACTTATTTGACAAATGAAGTGAAGGTTGCATCGGCATCAAGGAAACAGCGAGAACAAAGCAAATGTGTGTGACTCAAGTCCCTTTAATGCTAACTGGTAAAACGGGCACAAAAATAGAAAAATGAATTACCTAATCCAAGACAAGCTTTCCCTTGTGAGCTATCTTTGGAGGCCGCATGCAAGACTGAGATAGGAGAATACACTCTGGTATCCTCAAACCAAAACTTGTATCATTGGTAGTTATCTCCATCTAAAGCAGCAGCTGAACCTGCTGAGAGATTATTATATAATAATAATAATAATAATAATAATATTAATGCAAATCAAGCACACCAAAGCCACACATTGGATAAACCTGAGTTTATATTTTGGAGTGACATAAGAGAAAAACTAATTAAGTATGACATTGTGTCCGCTCAAAAACCCAGTGTAAGTGTGATGTGAGTGACAATTAAAAATACACATAAGTGTTTTTCACACTTTTGCCAGGGACATTTGAAAATAACTTTGGTCAACAACTGGAACAAGGCTGACATTCAATGTACACTGCATAGAGCCAAAAATGGACTTGAAGATATGTCTGCAGTCAGTCGAAGTGTTAACAGCGTGACATAATGAGTGTGAACAGCCATATCTCCTACACCTCAACACAAGAGGCCGATTTAGGATTGTAGGAGATCCGGGGCTTAGCCAGAATGTTGTAGTTGTGGAGCGGCCCCCGGATGTTTCAGAAAACATCCGGGGGCCTGCACAATTATTTTCAAAATAAGAATAGCATTCTGCTCCATGTAGTACTTTTAATTAAACAATATGTCAGATGGATTATAATGTATGTCTTCTGTTTCCTTGAACTAAAGACACCTATTTTAAGTACGGATTATTAGAAGTTCAGGTCGTGCCTTTGCTGAAGGAAACCCTGAAACATGAGATGTGTGTGCTAGCAACATGGGGATTAAAGGATAGCTTCCACTCTAGCATCCACGGGCCTCACCTGCCCATGACCCACTTGGTTGCTAGATAGGTGACAGTGGCCTTGCCAAACTCACACTTTGCCAGATTCAGGTTGCGGTCGAATAGTCCAAAAATCAGCTCCTAAATTCTAACCCTATCGTCTATTCCTTGACCTCTGAGTGAAAGGTCACGGGGTGAAGGGATAGTGGATAGGAGAATTCAAAAGGATTTAGGAGAAGAGACTGCGGTACTTTAGAGAATCGACTGCACTTTCACTATCCGACGTGTTTATGATGCGCCAGCGGACGTCATGAATGTGCGTCTGCTGCTGTGGGGAAACTATGGAAACTACAGTTTTCTATACAGCGGACTACAACATGGATGTTTAATAAGAACGAGGGGCTACTGTAAACTCATCTAGAGACTCTGCACCGTGCTCTGATGCTGTTATGCTTTATGAACGGGGACAACAGAGAAACATATTCTTCATGACCAAAGTTGGAATTGAAATAAAAAAGGAAAGTGAAACTTATGCTCGTCACCCTCTCCCTCCGGTCCACATTAATACAAATGATCCCAATACGTATGATTGTATGAAAAGATCTTAAAATCAATACAAATGTATTTATTATAAACGTTAGTCCTTAACATCTATCACTGTGTATATCACCATTCAAACATCTTTTAAAAGTTGAACAAACCCCACACAGCTTAGTAAAGACTGTGAAATGTTGACTTTATTTGATCATTTCAGTAAAAACTAACGTTCATATTTCTCTTTTTGATTATAATACTGATGAACGTTCAAAACAAAGCACTTTGGCAACTTACCACATACGTTTTAAAATGCTTAATAAGCACCGTAACTTTCATGATATCATTTCTCGTTCATAATCGGTTGTTTCCGTGAACGGCCGACTGTTGTGTGACGGCAAATGCCGCGGCCGCAAGGCATTGTGGGGCAGCATATTCTCCTCTCCTTTAGGTGAGGGAGGTCCAGTGGTTCCTAAGCTAAAGGAAGTTTGAAACCTCCTTTCCTTTCAATTAGAGAATTCGAACGGCACTTATCATGGCTGCCACTGAGGGACTTCCGGGTCATTTCACTCCGTTAGGAAGGTTCCTAAGCTAAATGGACTATTCGACCGCAACCTCAGTGTCAGCGAGGCCTCCGCAAGTCGCTGAAACACACATGTGAGGCTAGCCATATGGGCAGTCTGATTGTTGGAAAAGACAACCACATCATCAAGATACACATTACAGTTGGTCCCTGTTTTTCATGAGTCAGAAGTGGAGACCTACTTTGGTGCATTTGAGCGCATTGCTGCTGCTCTGCGCTGGCCAGAAGATGTGTGGGCCATACTTTTACAGTGCAAGCTAGTCGGCAAGGCTCAGGAGTCTTGCTCTTCAACTGAATACAACTGTAGTTGTGTTTTGGGGAATGATATGTAAGGAAATATTTCAAATAATAGGCTATGAGGTTTCTAAAAGTAGTTTGGTACTCTATTTATGTAAATTTACTGAGGAAATTATTGTAAGTGACAGATAGTTGATCAAAATTCTGCTAATATCCAGCAAGAAAGCTTTCACTCGGAAATCTGGGTAAGGAAGCACCACCAACGAAAAACCAATGGGTAACAATCGTGGAAGAAATCTTTTTGATGGAAAAAATGATTCATAAATTGAGATTACAAGAAACACAACTCAACAGAAAGTGGGAACATTGGACTCAAAACAAAGACATTTGTTTAGAACAATAGTGAACAGATACATGTATCTTCAAGACTATAATAACATGAAGACCTATATATACACCTAAGACCTTTTTTCCTCTCTCAGCTGCTGCTTTTATATCATACCAACAGAAGCAGAAGCGAATACACACCAACATTCATGTCAGTTTACCAAACCGTGTACATTTAGTATATAAGTATAGAGCTTCGTGGCATATCATGCACTTTACATTGTGGATTCTACAAAATTATATTTGATGATATTAACTTTCATTTGAATTATATAACCCAATATTGAAACCTCCTCAGTCTCTGGTTGTAAATGTTGCCTGTTCTGGTCCTCCCTTTACTTGGACCAAACATTTTTTATCACAAACAGTCAATTATATACGACTTACTGGGACTTACCCAAAGAGTTTAAACATAACAATAATCACTGTCTTCAGTCTCAGGTTCAGAAGAGTCTCCAGGGTTGTCCTCAGTCTCTGGTTGTAAATGTCTCTCTGGATCTGAGTTCCTGGCTGGTTCTGGTCCTCCACAGTCCTCTCCATCAGCTTCTGTTTCCAGGTGTTCAGTTTGTCTTCACAGTGACAGGAGTGAATTTGGACTTGGTGATATCAGCCTCCTCCAGCCATTGAAGCTGCTCTCCCTCCTGACTGCTCCAGAGTTGTTCCTGCTCCTCTTTAATGTGTGGGGGGGGCTCTGGGTCCTCCTGGTTCGGCATATGCTGGTTTTGAGTTCCACCTTCCGTAACCAATTCCTCTCCCTGGTGATTGCTGTTAAATGTTTCACCACTGTCGGAAAATGTATTTTTCAAAAAGCTTAACTCGGACAGGCATTCACTGCAATGTTTCCATCATCGTCTTCTCTGTCTCCAGTGTCAGGTTTAGAAGAGTCTCCAGGGTTGTCCTCAGCCTCTGGTTGTAAATGTCTCTCTGGATCTGAGTTCCTGGCTGGTTCTGGTCCTCCACAGTCCTCTCCATCAGCTTCTGTTTCCATGTGTTCAGCGGAGCTGCTGGCTGGAGGCTCTGCCTCTCTGTTCTCCTCAGTTTGAGTTTGATGAAACTGTGAGGACTGATGACCAACACACTTATGTCTTTTGACACGACTACTCCAGGTGGATATTTTGTCACAAACACTGCAGCGGTATGGTTTCTCTCCTGTGTGGATTCTCATGTGTCGATGTAATTGTCCCTTTTTTATAAAGGATTTCTTACAAACTGAGCAGCTGAATGGTTTCTCTCCTGTGTGGATTCTAATGTGGTCCTTTAAAGTTCCACTCACTGCAAAAGATTGATTACAGACTGAGCAGCTGAATGGTTTCTCTCCTGTGTGGATTCTCATATGTCTCTTTAAATCTCCTCTATGTGTTATAGACTTCTCACAGACTGAGCAGCTGAATGGTTTCTCTCCTGTGTGGACTCTAATGTGGTCCTTTAAACTTCCTCTCACTGCAAAAGATTGATTACAGACTGAGCAGCTGTATGGTTTCTCTCCTGTGTGGATTCTCATGTGTCTATTTAAATTTCCACTCTGTGTAAAATATTTCTTACAAAATGAGCAGCTGAATGGTTTCTCTCCTGTGTGGTTTCTCATGTGGTCTTTTAAACTTATTCTATGTGTAAAAGTTTTCTTACAGACTGAGCAGCTGAATGGTTTCTCTCCTGTGTGGATTCTCATGTGGCCCTTTAAAGATCCTCTTTGTGTAAAAGTTTTCTTACAGACTGAGCAGCTGAATGAATTCTCTCCTGTGTGGACACTCATGTGCAGATTTAAATGTCCTCTCTGTGCAAACGTTTTCTCACAGACTGAGCAGCTAAATGGTTTCTCTCCTGTGTGGATTCTCATGTGTCTCTTTAAATGTCCTCTCCGTGCAAAAGATTTCTCACAGACTGAGCAGCTGAATGGTTTCTCTCCTGCACTACGTCTTGAATCACTGACAGGGTCTTGTTTATTTCTCTGAGAGTTTGATCCTGGTTCTCTGGTCTCCTTCCAATCAGCACTGTCTTCAGTGTCTTCAGAAGAGTCTCCAGGGTTGTCCTCAGTCTCTGGTTGTAAATGTCTCTCTGGATCTGAGTTCCTGGCTGGTTCTGGTCCTCCACAGTCCTCTCCATCAGCTTCTGTTTCCAGGTGTTCAGTTTGTCTTTGATGAAGCTGAGAGGACTGAGGTTTCTCTTCATCATCTTCACTCTTCACAGGGACAGGAGTGAATGTGGACTTGGTGATATCAGCCTCCTCCAGCCCTTGAAGCTGCTCTCCCTCCTGACTGCTCCAGAGTTCCTCCTGCTCCTCTTTAATGTGTGGGGGGGGGCTCTGGGTCCTCCTGGGCCAGACTGGAGCTCCACTCCTGCTGCTCAGGGGGAACCTCTTCTTTAACCACCACCAGCTGCTGGACGTCTGCAGGAAACAGGAAACACACAGTAAGAACAAACTGTTAGTGTTAGAATTTAAAATGTAATGACCATTACCAACATTAACATTTCAAATGCTTGCCTATCATTTTGCTAAGTCCCGCCCCCTTTGTATGTCTGTTGGCTCAATTGTCTGTCAATTACACCTTTTTTCCAGATGCTCCGGAGTTTCAGGAAAACAGGTGAGTTAGTACTGTAGCTGATATTAAAGGAAGTTACACTGCTTAGTTTGGACAGGGAGAGCGTGGGGGTGAAGTTTCTTCTTTTCTGTTTGCAGATATGAGTTTCTACATGTAGGTTTGTGTAATTCATGATCATGTTAGTTATCAGGGTTAGATCTGCATTTACTGGCTGTATGAGCTGATGGTGCATTTTAGTGATTGTTTTTAAGGTAAAAGGGCGCTGCTATTGCACAGCTTGCTGACTGCCACTCGTCTACCGGCAGACATCGATCCCCTATTGATATACAATTAAATAAACTTAACACAAAGTAAGGAATTCTGTGTTTGGTAGATTATTTCTTTGTTGTAACAATGCTTCTTGGCAATACATCTGATAACGTTGGAAAGCCTGTTTTCTTACCTTTCAAATGGTGCCACATTTGTGCACACTGTTTCTCCGTGTGGTTAAACACACTGTTTCTGCATGTGCTTCAGTCTCTGTTAAACACACCGTTTCTCCGTGTGCTTCAGTCTCTGTTAAACACACCGTTTCTCCGTGTTGCTTCAGTCTCTGTAAACACCACCGTTTCTCCGTGTGCTTCAGTCTCTGTCAAACACACCGTTTCTCCGCGTGCTTCAGTCTCTGTTAAACACCACCGTTTCTCCGTGTGCTTCAGTCTCTGTCAGACACACCGTTTTCTCCGTGTGCTTCAGTCTCTGTCAAACACACCGTTTCTCCGTGTGCTTCAGTCTCTGTTAAACACACCGTTTCTCCGCTGCTTTCAGTCTGCTTACTTCACCGTTCTCCGTGGCTTCAGTCTCTGTTCAAACACACCGTTTCTCCGTGCTGCTTCAGTCTCTGGTTAAACACACCGTTTCTCCGCGTGCTTCAGTCTCTGTTAAACACACCGTTTCTCCGTGTGCTTCAGTCTCTGTTAAACACACCGTTTCTCCGTGTGCTTCAGTCTCTGTTAAACACACCGTTTCTCGTGTGACTTCAGTCTCTGTTAAAACACACCGTTTTCTCCGTGTGCTTCAGTCTCTGTTAAACACACCGTTTCTCCGTGTGCTTCAGTCTCTGTTAAACACACCGTTTTCTCCGTGTGCTTCAGTCTCTGTTAAACACACCGTTTCTCCGTGTGCTCAGTTCTCTGTAAACACACCCGTTTCTCCGTGTGCTTCAGTCTCTGTTAAACACACTGTTTCTCCGTGTGCTTCAGTCTCTGTTAAACACACCGTTTCTCCGTGTGCTTCAGTCTCTGTTAAACACACCGTTTCTCCGTGTGCTTCAGTCTCTGTTAAACACACCGTTTCTCCGTGTGCTTCAGTTCTGTTAAACCCACACCGTTTCTCCGTTGTGTCTTCAGTCTCGTTAAACACACCGTTTCTCCGTGTGCTTCAGTCTCTGTTAAACACACTGTTTCTCCGTGTGCTTCAGTCTCTGTTAAACACACCGTTTCTCCGTGTGCTTCAGTCTCTGTTAAACACACTGTTTCTCTCTGAAGCTTCCTGAGCTGCTGTTCAGCTGGACGCTAGGAAGCAGAGGTTTGGGAGGATGATGTCTCTGATGCTGTTTAGATTTCTCCAGCACCACAGGGGGTCCTATGTGGATGGCAGCTCCTTCCTCTGCAGATCCAGTTCTCCAGAATTGTCCTAATAAAAAATAAAAATATATATTAATCTTATAAACAAATGATGATTGCAAAATGATGACCATGACCATCCCTAAAGGATTATTTAAAATTCCGTACTGTTTTGGTTTTAAAAATGTCTATCTATACAAAACATGTCTCTGAAGTGTTTTCTTTATTACAGTGTGTGATGTCTTGTCTTTAATGTTAAGCACCTCAGGATATTTTGAGAGGTAGTCGACCATCAATAGGAATGATTAGGCGCGTTCACACCAAGTACTTTGCAGTACTTAGTTCCGGCACTCAGAGCCCCGGCGCTTTTTACCCCAGGGCACTTAGTACAGATTGCGTTCACACCGGAGTACTTTTCCCTGAGGGAAGATTACGCAAATGAGTCGCTGACGTCACTTCTTCTTCTTCTGCTTTGGCTTTACTGGCAGGCCACAAACCACTTCACGGCGAGTACAGTAGGTGGCGGTACGCACCTTAAAGTTGTTTGCAATCCGCTACAAAAACAAGAGAAGAAGAAGAAGAAAAACTTCCCGCGTATACTGCGACGCCCACCCACTCGCTGTACATTAGGCGTCTGTTGTTTACCTTCCGACCTCAGACATGATGGAGATGGAGTCGACTGAAGTTGTGCTGTTTGTGCTCATGTTATACAGCTTTGTAACTGAGTTAATGCAGCCTGAGCAACTTGCGTACAATAACAATAACAAGCCGAGCACGAGTGGTGGTGGAGAACGCTTTTGGCAGACTGAAGGGCAGGTGGCGGTGCTTGATGAAAAGAAACGACTGCAAGATGGACAAGATCAAAACCCAGGTGGCAGCATGTTGCGTATTACATAACCTTTGTGAAAGTAATGAGTACAGGGACGAATGGACTGCCTTACCGGCGACCCAGCTTGATGGGCCAGCCATTGCCGAGGCTGGGGGGCAAGACACACGCACAGCCCTTATGAGGCATCTGAACAGCGTGTAAATTGTACATTGTAAACATTTTGACAATAAAGATGATCTTTTGTACAGTGCTTTTGTTTCTCTCTTTTATTTTCCAGTCAAGACAGGCAACATTACAATAGTGTACAGTGTGGCAATATAATAACAATAAACTGTGCCAGGTGTTTTGTATGCACAGTAAATAGGCTCAGCAGCAAACCCACCTTTATTATATATATATCTTCCTGAGACCCACTGCATCCGTCTGCCATAAACACTATGGAAACATACATGTTAGTTTCGGCCCATAGTGGACTCCATTTTGTGTTGTGTGAAATGGGGGGGGAATTAAAAGTTTGCAAATCCCCATGTCCTCCTCAGAGGACAATCATAAAAACATTTAGTTTTAGGTCAAATAATATTTAAAATGATATAAATTATCATATTTGTGTATGTGCCCCTGCCATTCCTCCACAAGGTTGCAACATTGATGATAAATAAATGACAAATAAAGCTTTGCCAGTTTATAACCGATGAAACATGATGGTATCAGAATAATCACTTACATGTGATGTATAGGATGCTACACAGGTCACTAAAGATAACGTGTCAGGAGAAATAAGCAAGATACAGGATCTGTTTAATCGCCATGTAGGTTCTCTTTATTGCACTCTCAAGACATAACAGTAAATAGAACATTTTTAATGTAAATAAAATAGAAGTTGTACATGTAAGTTAACATTATCAATATAAAATAAAGTGTCAGTTGTATCAAGACTATATAATAACAGTAATAACTATAATATAAAATAAACTGTCCCAGGTGTAGGGATAGGCTCAGCAGCATACACACCTTAGTGCAAAGTTGTGTGTCAGTATTAATAAAAACAATACAAAATAAACTGTCCCAGGTGTAGGGATAGGCTCAGCAGCAGACATTGTTAACAGTGGCAACTATAGGGAGGAAGACCTGTTGGCTTTCACTAGCTGGGAAAGCACTTCCAGAAACCCATTCTGAAAAGTGGTTTGCCGCTCATCCTGCACCGACACTTCATCCTGGTGCTCCATCATCGTGAGCATCTTGTCCTCCGTTTCCTGGGCCTTGGTGAACAGCACCATCTGATCCCCGTGCATCGACTCTTTCACCACAGCACGCCGGTCCTCCAACGCCTCGACGGTGTCAAAGAAATTCACATCCCGTGCCCGCTTTCCTAAGAGGGGAAATAAGCAAGATACAAGATCTGTTTAGTCGCCATGTAGTTTTACAACATACGAGGAATGTGTTTACTAGTCAACATTGGACAGGGTGCAGGCCGGGACAAGACAGTGTACACAATGCAGGTGTATAGTAGAAGATAATATAGGAGCAAATAGCATAAAATATATATATATATATATACACACACACACTGAGTCTGTGTGTGTGTGTAGCTGCCGCTCAAAGTGCCCTTATTTATTGTTTTGTATTTTTGAAGAGTGCTTCATGTATGTTTGAACTTTGTTTAATTTTGTTGAGGCAAGTTTTCTTACCGGAAGTCATGTGACCTCTAGCCCGGATGTTTACAATGTTTGTCAGAGAGTAAAAAGGGCGCGAACATTTGTAAACACCGGTCTAGGCGAATACGTTTTCACGCTGTTTCATAATTGTACCAAGAAGGAAATAAACGTGATTGTGAACATCAGTTCGATGCGTAACGTTCTTTCAAGACCAAGTTACAGTGTGTGTACCTTTGCGTTTGGTTGCTGGTAAGGAGGACGAGCAAGCGCTGTGA